GATACGTGTTTCAGCTGCTTTGTGTGTAAGCTATGGTTGGAGGCAGGCAATTTGGCAGAGGTGAAGGAAAGTGGTCCTGGTCAGGAACCAAATGTGGGGGAGAAAGCAAGGCTGGGGGTGGTCGAACCTAACTCAGAGGTGACGCACAGGTACGGTAAGTTTTAGGGAAATGAGAGGGAGGTTGAGGAGGTCAGAGCCGCAGAAAATAAGACATTGATGGGAGCCATGGAGTATGGCTTCAGACTTGTCAATATTCAGCATGTTGGATTTTTGACTTGAGCAAGGTCAGTCGAGCAATTTTCATCTGTTCTAATGCTTAGGAGAAAATAATGTGGCTCAGTAAGCCTCCCAATTCTCTATTTTTAGCGCCCTCTACCTAATTGTGTTTCACAGGATCTGTGGAGGTTTTATATATTTTCCATATGCAAATATATTGGGTTACTTTATTTTTCCCGAAAGGCTATTTCACTTTCAGGTATTGATTGACTTCCTGAGCATTTCTCCACATTTTCTGTTCTTATTTTATCTTATAATCTCTTATTAAGTTCCTTCTGAAAACCAATAGAAATTGCATCCTACTGATCCTCCATCACTTCGATGGTCCTGTCACAGAATTCCATTTGGTTAGTCAGATATCATTACCTTTCACAGAACCATGCTGACTTTCCCTGTTCAATTCGCATGATCTTGAATTTTTTGGTGTCTGACGCATTCTTAATAGTATCTAAACCAGACTGAAAGTTCCACATTTGAATGTTACCTACCCATAGAAATTCATGTGTCTGGAATCGAAATGCACTCTCCCTCCCTGGATGGGACCCACATACTCTATTCCAGAGAGTATTAGGTACAGGTTGGTAAGAGCCAATGCTTGGGGACCCCAAAGTGTGCACTGTGGCACTGCTGGAAAACCTCATAGCTTGTCTTTGAAACCACTATCTGGCAAGCTTCCCATTGCTTGTCCAGCCAGGACCAGCCTACCTGTTAGGTCTTAGGGTTAGGGAGCTGAGTGATAAGTATCCCTGCCCCAGTGACTAATTTGCCCCCTCCAAGTCCTGCTGATGTTTAGATACTGTGCCCCCAAATCTCTGGAACTACCTATCTATCTTTAAATCCCACTTAAAGATTTACTTCTTCGACTATGCCTATGGTCACTTCCCCCTTCTCCCCTACTTAGCATCCTTACAGAGTGAAGGACGTTCTATAAATACAAGTTGTGGTACGCTAATTGTGTAAAATGTAGCAACATCCTTTCTGTTGAGCTAATGAATATGATTTTTGAGGTTTGCTCCTGCAAAATATTCCCTTCTTTTCCCCTCCCTCCTTCCCTCCCTGAGAAAGTACAGCTTTGTAAAAGGTTTCTCTTTATAAATAAATTCCTAAGACCCTTAATGAAGGGGATATTTTAAAAAATTTATTCAGTATTTTTAATAATAATAATCTTGCATTTGATATAGTGCCTTATCATGTCTTTGAGACGTCGCATAGTGCTTCACAGAATATACTGTAAAGTAAATTGACTGTATATTTTGTGGGCAAAATGCGGCAGCCAATTGCGCACAGCAGTTTCCCACAAACAGTCATGGATTGAAGTGACCAATTTTTCTTTTTTTTTAAGGAATTATTAACCCTGGAAAAGTGATCCATCAATCGACTAACAACCGAGTTCCTACTTACTGCTAGATAAACAGAGGCGTGAGGAGTAAGGAAACTTGCCCAACCTTTGCCCTGCCCGGGAATCAAACCCAGGTCTATTGCTTGTTATTGTGGTACAACACTGTACTGTACTGCCTTTTGTGGCTACGATTTCTGACTGAGATCAGATATCTGTGTCCTTCCTGTGTCCTCTGGATACAGACCATCATTATACCAATGTAATACAGCATTGTGTAGACTATCAAATATTTATTCTTAGGGAGATGAGTTTTAGTACTCAACTACGATTTTATATTGTTAACATGATTTTTATAAAAATTATATATAATTTGCATTTGACAGCTCATTGACAAATTACTTCAAAGAGTTATATCACTGCCTTTGATGTGTGTTCACTGAAGACAGTTCTTGAATCATGTCTTCTGCATTGGCTTCATTGTTAGCAATTGAACAAAAGATGAAGAGCAATCAAAAAGCAGCAACTGAAAGAAGTCTTCCAGATGCCCATAGCATAGTGATAGACTGCAAGATTGGAGGCCCCAGAGTGGGTTCTCGTCGCTTAGCTCGTGAAGGTGCTCCGAAGGTGCGTTTACTCAGAAGATCTGTTCAGCGGGATTTCCTTCAAAGAGGAATTAAGGTAATGGAAGATTATATTCCTAAAATTACTAATGTAACCGAGTTGGGCAAAGGAAACACTGAGCGATTGGGTGTGGTAGTGACCATTTTCTTCTGGGTTGTAGGTCTGAATGTGCCCGGATTGATGGGATAGAATTATTAAACATAAATACGTAGATAGAAAGAGCAGAAAAAGGCCCAGAGGCATATTGAGTCCACTCCCTGGATAACTTTACTCGGCCCACATCCCTCCCAACGTTTAGGCTCCTGTTGTCAATCACTCAGTACACCTTCAGTGAAGCTAGAAAACAAAATGAGCCTGTGGCAAATTCCTCCCCAAAGGTAGTCAAGCAAATTCCAGGAGAGGCTTGAGTCACCACCATTGCGAGAGCCTATCTAATATACCTTTATCTGATTACCCCCTATACCCAGCATTATTTTGGGGTCTATTTAGAAGTCCACCATCCTTTCCACTCCACTGGAAGTGACTGTTCTCCTGCTTAAAGGTGTGATCTCTAGTTCTGGATCATGTATTGATAGTGGATTCCATGTAGCATTGCGTTGATTCCTTGCTGAGTTGTGAAGACCTAGACAAAATGGCCCCTCAATCTCCTCTGCTCTGTTGTGAATAGGTCCAGCACCTGAAGCTTTTCTATGTAGGTTACACTCTAAGCCAATGGATGGAGGAAGAGGGTATATAATAATAAATCTCTATAGTTAGTTTCTTCCCCAAAATAGTACCCATCTCACAGTGTTTCCATGTTTACTGAAGCCTATCTAGTTTTGTCCATAATCCTTTATCAGTGTCTTCACATTACTAAACCATTTCCATTCTTTTCTATTCCTGCAACACAATCTGCATCCCTGTAAATTGAAAATTCAGGAGGGTAGCAGATTTATCCTTTGAATCAATGACATCCTCCATACACCAAGCTCTCTCACTATGTGGGGTTCTCTCATTCTGAGCGAGCACTGGCAAATTACTTCTGAATGTAGTGGAGCTGCACCTCTGTACTGTGGAGGTGGGGTGTTGCTATTGTCATCACATGATGGCCATGGAATTTCTTCTAAGAGAAGAAAGTTTTGGAAATCCTCAGCAGTCTGGATCTGGGTGGATCTAGTGCTATGGTGTATGGAGGATGTTATACCTTCTAAGAATGAAGAGCCTACATTACAAGTAAGTAATCTCCCAGCAGTCCAGAGACCAGAGCACATAACTACTCCCTGATTGGCACTAAACTGTTACTTTTAGTACCAGCTGGTTGGTTTGGGAAATATATTAAAAACTAAAATGGGAGGGAACCTAATGGTGGCAATACTATTTTGTTGCAATGCACTAATCTCTTTCATCTCAATTACAAAATTCAACCACATGAAAAAGCATTCGGCGGGGTGTTGGGTGGGTGGGGAAGAATGAGATACATTCGGGAGTGATGTGTACACTGCAATTTGTCTTTTTGTTTCAGGAAAGTAATGCTCTTGCTGTTCAACTGCATGCTTGCAAAATGCCCAAAGAACTTCAAAGGGTCTCAGAGTCGTCATCGTCATATGACGTGCTCAGTGATGGTAACGACATGCGCAATACGTCAGTAAATGGCCAGAATGGTGACAGATGTCCAACCAGAAAACGAAAAACAGATCAGTCTTGCATTAATCAAAAAGTATCTGATAAGCTTAAAAACAGACGGCGGAACCAAGAGCTCACAGCAATAATTCCACCTCCTCAGGCTGACATAGAAAAGAATAAATCTGAAGCTCCTGATGCTGGTGCTAAGGTATGCTCCCCATCAAAGGAAGAATTAAGATCCATTCGAGGAAATTACAGCAAGCATAGCAAGAAGGTAAAAACTTGTTGCAAGTCTCCAGACACTGAGATCACAGTAGAAAATACAGTGCTTGGAAACCAAACTCAATTCCTGGAAAGCAGACCTGCAGAGTTGATTAGAGTACTTGAGAAGCAAGTACAGCATCGTAAAGCTGACAACAGAGTCCACCTGGAGGCTGAGGGTGAAGTTCAAAATGCTCAAGGACCCAAAAGTTCAGAAACTGATTCAGCAGCAGGATTTCAACCGGGATCTTTAAAATTGTCCCAGAATCGCAAACATTTGATCAGTTGTGGTATGGGCCAACATACTACCACAGCTTGTGGTAAGGAAACAAATTCTCCAGGTGCAATGGAAAAGCATGGAGCAGAGGCAAAGATTGTGTTAACTGATACAGCATTAGAATCAGCTGGTGTGCTTAAGCCCATTAAAATGTTTGTAGCAGGTGAATTGGAAGGATTATCTGTCAACTGTGGAAGAGAAGTAAATGAGGAAGCACAATCTCAAGCTTCAGGTATATCGCTCGGTTGCATGAGAACAACGCCATTCCTTGCTACATGTGCTCGAACTAATCCATTTGAAAGAAAAAAATTCCGTACAAGGTTTCACCGGGCTTTGGAACGGTGGTTTAAACGTGCACAAGAAATCTCAACTATTGATGCAACAAGTAAAGAACAGGTTTTTGAAACTGTGAATTCAGGCTCGCCCTGTCCATATTTATTATACCCTGATTGGAGCTATTTTACTGAGGAACAAGAATATTTGCAATCAGTGGAGGCTGCGTGTTTTTTGTTGAACGCATTGTCCTTGGATGTGGCAGAAGAAAAAGATCATAATGAAGATGATCTAAAAAATAATCTGCCCAGTGAAGTCAACCCTGCCTCTGTATCTTTTGCAAGTGAACAAATGGCTAAAATACAGCCAATTATATCTTGCCATAAACCTTTTGTTGTCAATGAATTCAACAACCAATTAAAAGATACCGGCAACATTGTCAAAATCATTGTACCAAAAAAGGCAGCAAATGTCATTAGTGAAGAAGAAAATCATTCTCGTACAATAAAGAGAAGTAAATTGAATGTTTTAAAATCTGATGTTGATGGCACCTTAATATCTCCCACACTCTCAGAGTTTGAAATCTCTTTCCATGAGGACAGTGCCATTTTAGGTAACGGTGCACCCAACACACAGTGTAATAAAGCAGGAAAAGCATTGGTACTTAGTACAGCATACAAGAGTTTGCAGGAAAAGTATGTTCCAAGAAAGGAATGCTCAAATGAGGGCAAAGATGTACAATCTCCTTGTATTCCTCTCACACAAAATGGATCTTCACCTTTGAGACATGGCCACCTAAATGCCCAATTCAATGCTGAAATCATTGACCAAATTACAACCCACACATTTTTTAAGGATTACTCTTCATTAGATTTAGAAAATGCAGATAATCTTGTTAATGCTGATGGTGATGCTTTGCCAGTGTTTGCCTTGCCAGATGATTGTAGCCTTGAACATTCATGTGATACTGTGTGGAACACTGACACAGATTCCACTTTATCAGAAAACTACCGAAAACCTCCACATTCATATGAGTTGTTTAACTCAATAAAAGAAAGTAATGAAACCAAAGAAATATGCAATAAGAATTTTGAAAGGAAACGTATCGCAAGGAAGTCACCTAATATTGTAAGGGCTTGTGAAAAGAGGAGCCGTGTGAAGGTACTTAATATTGTGAGGACTTATGAAGAGAATAACCCTATCAAGGTACCTGACATTGTAAGGGCGTATGAAGAGGATGCACTTGTGCTTGATGTAATTCAAGATGACCCTGAACTGTTTGGCAGCCCGAGCAAAAATAATGACGTGTCGCAAACTTCTGGGCAATCAGCAGGGCAGAAAGGAGCTGCTCGCAGAACATTGGAGTTAACAAATTGTATAGAAGATAACCTAGGAATAAGTGAAATGAACAGTGAAGACTGCAAGGAATCTAAGGACAGAGTCTCCAGGTATTATTTTGTGCACTTCTTAGTCTGCTTTAATTAATTACAATGATTTTTTATCACAGAATGTATCCTGATCAGTCTGACCAAATGGTATGAATTCTGGTGTAAGTATTATGTTACTGAGTATTGGGGCAAATACTGTAACTTCTACTTTGGTGGGAGACCAGTTTTTTTTGGTCAGCCAAGGGTCTGACACATGCAGAAATTCATTACCATGTTTATGAATATCCAAACCAAGCTGAAAATTCCATGCATCCCACCCACATATGGAAATTCCAGAGATAGATTTTGGAATGAGCACTCTCTCCCTGGAGGGAAACATCCTGCTTACCTAATTCCTTAACGTATTAGGCTCAGGTTGGCAAGAGACAAGGCTTGGTGACCTCAGAGTTTTCATTGGGGCACTGCTGGAGTCTAAAACCCCATGGCTTGCCATTGATATCAAGCTTTCCCGCTGCTTGTCCTGTAGCTCAGTGGTTAGAGCACTCACCTTGCAAGTGAGAGATCTAGGATTGATTCCCTGCAGGGCGAAACCTTGGGCAAGTTTCCTTACTCCACATGCCTGTTAGTAATCCCTGAACAAAAAAAATAATAATTCGGTCACTTCAATCCATGACTGTTTGTGGGACACTGCTGTGCGCAATTGGCTGCCGTGTTTCGCCCACAAAATATACAGTCAATTCACTTCACAGTATATTCTGTGAAGCGCTTTGAGACGTCTAGAAGACGTGAAAAGCGCTATATCAAATGCAAGGATTATTATTATTATAACCACCCTACCCTTTAGGGCTTTGACTTGCACGGTTAACAGGAGCTGAGTGGAATGATTCCCTGTTCCCAGTGACTAGCCTGACCTTCCACGTCCTGCCGATGAGCCAGGCTGGCTGTGCTGTCATCAGTAGTGCCCTGGAGTACTGCGGACCTGTCTGACTCATGAACAGTACTATCGAAACTGCCACAGAGGAATGACTCGATTCTGGTATTCCATTGATAGACATGTCACATTGGAGCCAGCTCAGCTCCAGGGAGACCCCGGTCATTTAATCCTCCAAGAGGATTGTTTGAGACCAAATAGGTTGAAACCCTTTTGGAATGAAAGATCACACTCAACAAATTTATTGAATTTCTTTGAACAAGTTTAAAGATATAAAATATATCATTGCATAAGATTCAGGCTGTTGGAGTAGATGGCAATGTATCAAACTAGCTCAGCAAATATTGCAAAGTAACGAGTTGTGATGCATGTGGAAAAACGGCTTCCAAATTAAGAATTTTCCAAGATCCTGCATAATCTGACATGGTCTTAACATTTAAAAGCCCAGTTGCTTTATAATCCTATTAGTTATTGTAAAGTATGTTGCTGGATTCTAGAAATCTGCTAGTTTCTGTTTTGTTGCAGTACTTCTGTGCACTTGTCTGAGTTTGACACTTCTGGAGAGGTCTTGGATTGTACTACCCACCAACTATATGGTAGGTTTATTTGCTTTATATATTTTTGTGAAATAGCTGAACAATAGTATCTACTTAAACACCACTGCCTTCCTCCTCTCTGGAACAATGATTGGAGATATGCTAGCTTCTAAGTGAAATTTTAAGAAGTCGCTATATTCAAAATACAGTAGAGACAATTATCTGGACTAATCGGGACCAACCCTTTTGTGAATAAGTAAACAGTGTGAACAATTGAATATCGTGCAAAATATAAACCGGCTTCAATAATAACTATAATAATAATAATCCTTGCATTTGATATAGTGCTTTTTATGTCTTCTAGATGTCTCAAAGCGCTTCACAGAATATGCCGTAAAGTGAATTGACTATATATTTTGTAGGCAAAACACAGCATCCAATTGCGCACAGCAGTGTCCCACAAACAGCCGTCGATTGAGTGACCCAAATTATTATTGTTATTTTTGTTCTTGAGGGATTATTATCAGACGTGTGGAGTTGGGAAACTTGCCCAAGGTTTCTCCCATAAGGAATTGTCCTGTCACTATAGTAACTAACATAAAATGTTATCTCTTCACTCTCTGCCTTTCTCAGTCACACACACAATTGTGTATTTTAGGATTCAAGCCTGAAAGCAACATACCTTTGGATGATGAAAACTACTATGAAATAGACATTTATATGGATAAATCTGTGGAAGGTGGAGATGTAACTGAATCTGGAGATCACCCATCTCAGGTAGATGTGTGGGTCATTCACTTTCATGTAGGTTTGTTGTAGAATGAGGAATACACAAGACTAGGAGGATTGAGACTATTGATGTAAAGTGAGATTTAATGCAGAGAAGTACACAATAGTGACTTTGAGAGGAAGAAAAAGTAAAATAGTTGCATTAGGAATTCAATAATTACAGATCATACAATTTTAAAGGTGAGAGTATGAGACCATTTTATTGAATAAAATTGCACTTCACTGTACCTGCACGCAGTCGGCCCGCTTGCATCTTGCATACGCCAACCAGTTCACATGCTAAAGCCATGTTCCATATCAGCAGATCTCAGAGTGTACAGCAATAACCTAATGACATGGAAGGCAACCAGTTTAGGGTGTGCCAGCCTGCTAGATGTGTGCCTTCCAGTGAAAGGTGTCCGTACTGGAACATATTGAGTGTTTTAGGGGAGAGAGAAAGAGATTGGTTCCCTGCAAAAATGATGAACCCTCTATAAAGTACAGTATTCTTTTCCATGTTGAACAGTTGTGTTATGCAGCAAAGTATTGAGTTGCTCTTCCTCCCTCTTTATAGATGCACAATACAGATGCATGTTTTTTAATTTGTAGGACATTTCAATTTCTAAGACAGATGAGCACCTGCACGGTGGTGAGAATGGAATCAGGTTAGTGGGTGGAATGCTTATATTTTCAATATCTTCACTGGTGCACTGGCACTAACAATATTTTTTAATTCTGAAACATTTATTACTTTCTGTAAGTGGAGCTTGATGTAACTCCACTGAATTCTTGCCTGTCTGTCTACATGTGCACATGGCTGAAACCAATTGAGAGCTGTAGCAGTTGAGATAGAAACTGATAATAACCAATTGACCAGTACAGGACTGCTAATCCTGAAGATGCTGGCATTGTTATAATAATCATTACATTTTATATAGCGCCTTATCACATTGTCAAAGCATCTTAAAATGATGTTACTTTAAAGTGTAGAAACTGTTTATTTGTAAGCAAACACAGCAGCCAATTTGCACACAGCAATGTCTCACAAACCCAGCCATGAAGGTGAATGACTACATTCTTGTGGGGGATTGTTGGCCAAAACATTGGGAGAAATTCCCTTGTCTTTATAAATAGTTCCATGGGATCTTTAATGTCCACCTGAAAAGAGAGTCATAGCTAAACACTTGGGTGAAACTCTGCCAACCAGGATGAAAAAGGTAGATTGCCATCTATTGTAAAGGAATGTTCTTGAGTTTATTCCAAGTTAGCAGCACATGTCTGTTCAGGTGACGTATGATGCAATTTCCAACAATGATGGGAGGTATTGGTCATTGACTTTGTGGCTGTTGGTGGGACATTGCTGTAGACAAATTGGCTGCCATCCCTGGGACTCTTTCCAAAATGAAGGGCGCTATACAAGTGTAAGTTGTTGTTGCCATGTTTACCAACTGCATACAGTGTCTACACATTACAATGAATCCTGTGACGAGCTTTGAGACGTCCTCTTGACGTGAAAGGCCCTAAATCGAATGTAAAGGTTATTATAAGGTTACAGAACATTTGGCCCATCAAATCTGCGCAATGCTGCTAGGGTTCTCCACATGAGCTGGCCTAATCTAATCCGGATTGCTCCCTTTTCCTTTTAATGCTCTCCATTTTCAATCATATCTGTAATCTTCTTATAAAGGATTTACTGACTTACTGACACATGTATGCTCGCTTTAGTTTCTTTTCACAAAGAGTAACATTTAGGCAACATAGTGTACGGGGGCAGCACGTCTCAGGGTACTCTGAAACCGAACAGCCCCAATAATGCCCTATTATTTGTCTACACTTCAGGTAAGCATTGCTATGATCTGGGGTTCTGAATGAAATTTGATGTATATTTTTTAAAAATTGGGAGAAATTGCTTGAACAGGCATTCTGAGGCTCACATTTTGTATTTAGCTTATTTCTTGTCTAGAAACTCTGACTGAAACCAGGGAGCCAAAAATTACCTTCCCATTTTTTTAAAAAAAGAATCCTGCCACTTCATTCATAAAACCAGAATGGCTATTAAATGCTCAAGGATTTCCAGGTTGTAAATATCACCTGTTCAGATTGCCATCATTCTTTGGTTTCCATGTTACTGATTGAGCTCAAACCCACAAGGATTTTGGATGTGTGAGTCAATACATCTTTTCTTTTCCTTGTTATCATCACCAGCGTTGAAGGCCGATGTTCAGACAAATCTATTTTGAGAGCGGATAAACGACTTTCATTGGAACCGCCTCTTTCTGTCTCTCCACTCCTGGGTTCAGCAATCCAGAACGGTATGCTATTGATTGATATATTTTTCAAAATTGTGATTGCTTTACAGCTGACTGGCAGGCAGAGAATCTCTGTGAATCTTTAACCATTAGAGTATCAGTGCAATCAAAATCTTTGTGTAATACTTTGTGCCACAAATTAATGTATATAATGAATTTTCAGTCTCTTGCTGTAACTGTCTGGGCTTTCTCAGTAGGTTATATGTAAATGTTGATAAATTCTAATGGCTGAAATAGTAAACGTATGAGACAGTAGAACAAGGGAACATAAGGTTAGTATTGTAAAAGCTGATTTCAGAACAGATACCAGGATATTTTTCTTTACTCAGAAAATCTGAGTTGCCAGGACACTGGACTCATTTTTTTAAAAAAAGAAAGCGCAGAATAGTGGAATGGAGCACACAAAGGACATGCAGGAGGACGGAATCAGTCGAGCAGAAGTAGTGGGTTAGGGTCGGACAGGTAGGGAAGTGCCAAGGCATGAAAGGATTTGAAGATTAGTGAGGATCTCGAAATCAATCCGTTCGGCGGAAGGGAGCCAGTGGAGCCTGGTGATAACTGGTATGATGGTACGGAGTTTAATGCGGGTGAGTATACGGGCAGCGGAGTTTGGGATCAGCTGGATTTTGTGGATGGTGAAGCTGGGGAGACCGGCGAAGAGGGCATTTGAATGTGATTTCAAACGTGATTCCTTGAATGAGGAGTTTGGAAATAAGTCTCAAAACTTCAAAGAATATAGCGATCCGGTGGCTTGGTGGAATATTCTTGCTCTGTGAGCCGATGCAGACTTGATGAGCTAAATGCCTCCTTCTGCACTGTCGATTTCTATGTTTTTACATCGTGCTGATTTCCTGCAGTGCTATTTTTTAAATGGAGTTTCCACAAATCCGTGTAAATTCTGGTTATTGGTAGTTGCATTTTTATTCGGGTCCCAGGATTGTTCCTGAAGTTTTCTGAATTGTGTTTCTGCTCAATTTGTATTTATTCACATCTTAATGTTTTGTGGAGGGTGAGGGTGGAGACGGAGAAAGCACTTGTAGCCTAACAAGTATCTCTGTTGATTAAAATAACCAGGTTTTGCTCTCTGTTAGATTTCAGGTTTACCAGCAACCACTCTGTGCCATCGACATCTGTCCACTCTCCTTCCTCTCCACAGTTAAATAGTCAGGAACAGCAGTGTATTACCAAGCCAGTAAGTCCAAGAATACTTGTACCCATCATATTTCTTCCAATGACTTCCCTTCCCATGTCTACATGGTAACACCTGGCGTACTCTTATCATTGGGATTGTCGTGTAGTGGTAATGTTAACAGACAAGTATCTCAAAGGCCGTGGGTTTGATGCACAATTTTGATTCCAAACATTTGGTAATTTGAGCTATGGTTAGAGAAATGGCCACAAAACGCTGCCAGATTATTATGAAAACCCAGCTGGTTCACTATTGTTCTTCAGGGAATGAAATCGTCCCTCCTTACCTGATCTGGCCTGTAGGTGATTCCAGCCCTGTTTTATGTGGTTAACTCTTAATATCCTGCAAAATAATCCAGCAGGACAATGAGGGATCGGCAATAAATGCTGAGCTGTTAGTGTCACCCACATTTCTTAAGATTTTATTTATCTTTTCAAAAATCATTCTATGTGCTTCTCCTAAGTGTCACTTTGTGTAGGGATGGGGTCAGCTTCCAAATGACACTTTTGCTGTATTTTGACGCTCAATCCCAGGATGATTGTTGTGCCAATTAAGTGCCAGACAGACGTCCTGGATGATCCTTAACCTCAGCTATATGTTAAACTTTGGCTAACGCCTCCTCTGAGATACCTATTGCCCTGACTCTTATCAGCTTCCCTGGCTGTTCGCTCAGACTTAAATCAGCCAGTGTCCAGGCTCAGTGTTCTGCTTGTTTCCAGTAGTCTTGTGTTTCATCAATTTCTTTGTCTCCTCAATGTTGCACTTCTCCAATCCTTTCCTCTCTGCCTACACCCTCCACAAGCTCCAACTTATTCAAAACTCTGCAGCCAATATTCTCTCTTGCATCCAGTTCCAGACACTCTTCACTTCTGTCCTCGCCAGGACCCACTGGCTCCCAGTACCCCAGCAACTTTAAAATCTCTTTTCAATTCCTTTCATGGGCTTGCCTTCTCTGTCTCTGCTTCTACCCTCCAGCTTGTAACCTCAGCTCTCATTCTGTTCTATTGCTTGTTTCTTAACTACACCTCTACCCTCATGAGCTTGCTTCATTGCTTCACCTCTGCATGTCTTCTAAACCCTTGCCCATGTATTTGGTCAACACCCTTAATTTTTCTTTCCTCCCCCCTGCTCAGTGCTCCCCATCCTATTTGTGAAATGCTTCTAGATTGTCATTCTATGTGGAAGGAGCAGTGTGAAAGAAGTTGTTGTATCCAGTTAAGATCTCTTTGATCTGTAGCTGCTGAATGTATTTGTCTTACATTGACTCCAATCTTGGAGGTACAAGCATGTCCGAGTATATCTAAAGATGAATTGTAAACTCCCCCCCCCACCCCTGAAAACATTTTTAACGTAGAATGAGTTGGAACGGATTGAACTCTTATCTTCAGAATAACAGGAATGCTTTCAAATTGATCAAAATGGCTTCCAGTGATTTCCTATTTAAATTCAAAGAGTAATGCTGCAACAGTAACAGACTGCTCTCCACTGACTGTAATCATCCAATTGAATGAAATGATTGAGACAGCAATATCAAAACATAGAATTGTGCACTTGACAAAGTCAGAAGCCTGAAGGCAATCTTAGTAATTCTTCCCAAACGTTCAGTTGACAGAAGCAAAGCCTTCTAGGCCGCTTCATGTATTCTTGGTGATTGTTGAACATGAAGGGCTTTGCACTGATGAAACAGTAAATTAATTTTTCAACCACTAAAAAGTGAGTCCTCTTTGACTTGTGTAAATTGATGAAATCTCTCAGAGGTTTTTCTTATCATTTTCCCTTTTCATGTTCTCCCATCGCCACGCAATGGTAGTGAGTCCTACTTTTGCGTTAATTGCTTGCTAATTATTTTCACAGTGTACTTGCTTTGGAGACCCTGCGTTTATGATGCTGACATCATCCTTAAACTATACAGTGCCCTGGTCAGGCTGTACCTAGAGGATGTCATAACTTCTGGGCACTGCAACATAAGGGGGCTTTCCAGGCTCTAGAGGCAGTGCAGAGGAGAGCAACAAGAACAATCTCCAATATTAAAAATAATGAACTATGATTAAACCAGCTAGGTCTTTTCAGTCTTGAGAAGAGGGTTGAAAAATGGACCTTTTAGAGGTACATAAGATTCTAAATAGGATTGAGGAAGTAAACTCAGAATAATACTTTTCAATGCACTTGAGACAGCAACACAAGTGGACACAGGTTTAGGGTTTCAAAGGGTAGACACCAGGAAGAAAGTATTTCTTTACCCAGAGGATAATTAATGATTGGAACAGGTTACCAGAAAGGGTGGCTGACACCAGGACATTGGATTAGTTTAAAAACAGCTTGATGCTGTGATGGGAGGACATTCGGGTGGGTAACTGGAAGGATGTGATCAAATGGGCCAAAGAGCCTTCTTCATCCAAATCTTGCTTATTGTCCGACTAGCACTTTTAATGCAGTTTTATTTTGCGAAAGGAATGCTTTATTTAATGGACTTGATGATGCTGCATCAAGTTATTCCATCTTTCTCTACAGTCCAGGTACCTCTTGGAATTGGCTGCACTACCATCAGGCTGCTGCAGGTATTATTTTGCCACAGTTAAAGGTTGCAAGAGAAACCCATGCAGGTTTGGACATGAACCAAAACAAGAAGATGAAAAAGTAAGTGAATTGATTCACCGCTGTAATAACTTTTTTTTCTGTAGGCCGATGCATCCCAGGTTCTTTTCTATTCAGAAGTAATCTGTGGCCATTACAGATAAGGTTTTAATATTTGGTTTGTTTCCACATTTTTTTGCCCTACTCATCGGATTCCCCAGCCCCTCCATACTTAGAATGTGGATTATCCAGAACTCTGCAGTCTGCATCTCTCCCGCACCAAGTTTCATGAGCCCATCATCCCCATCTTTACTCAACTCTACTGGATCCCCACCCACCACCAAATCAAATTCAAGATCCCCAATTTCAAATCCTTCCATAGTGACGCCTCATTCTATCTTTGTGACTTACTGCCTAGCCCCTCGCTCCTTCCATCAAAAAATGGCCTGCTTCAATCTCTCCCCACCACCCCCCACATTCACACACAGCACAAACCACCCCACCATCAAAGGGCGAGCTTTCAAACGTTCTGACCCTGCTCGCTGGAGCTCCATCCTGGAATTCCTATGCCTTGCTCCCTCCCTCCCCACGTTCAACTCACTCCTTAAAACGTATCTGTTTGACCATATCTTCAACAACTCTCTCTCCCCCACCCTCCACTACATCCTGAGTTTGTGCTCCAAACTGGCTCTGTGAAGCACTTTGAGACGTCCCAAATGAAAAGTACTTTATAAATGGTTTATAAATGGTTATCAGTCTTAAGTGTAGAAGTGTAGAGTTGTCTCAGAAATGTTTGTAAAATGAAATAAATGTGATGGCTGATAAAAAAGACTTTTTTCGAGTGCATGTGCTTTCTGCTTTGGAACTGTATTTGTGAACAAGGAAATGTGTTTTATATTTTCAGATGATGCTCTGAAGCTTTCCTTAATGCCATCGTATTATATTTTTCAGCTTTGCATTGAAATTATTCAGAAATTCATGGAGACCAATAATCCACATCTTTTATCACGTGCAGGTAAGAATTTAAGCTTTTTTTTGTATTGTGCGATCCAGATGAGCTTTGATTTATGAAAGATGTAGATTAGTGAATTTTTAATGGTCAATTAACTTCTTTAAAATCGACGTGAATGTACGGTTGGGGATTGGTTATAACAGTCATGGAATGCTGTGTGCAATATGTAGTTCCTGAACTGGTGAAGCCTGGCATCCACCATCCACCTAGTGAAGGCTCAAAGCTGCATTTGTCAGATATCAAATGACCAACTAGTGATTGTCCTCCCGGAGAGAATGGGGAGGTAAGCAGGTCTCCTGGAAGCTGAACTGGCTCCATGATGGTGTGTTTGCCAACAGGACGTTGGAATTGAGTCAATTCTCTGTAGTGGTCTCAGTAGCCCAATTTCTTGAAGCCAGGTGGCTCTACCCAGCTAACCCAAATTCTTGTGGCTAATCAAAGAGGTGAGATTGTTGCTCCTCAGGCTGGAACGCTTTGACTTCCAAGAGATAACATGGATGGAAAGAATGGGAGAAGAAGATGTAAAGTGTTTTTTTAACCTCTACCCAACTACGAATGACAATGGATTATTTTATGTTCTTTCTACCTAGTAAGAATATTTATAAAATACTACAGCAATTTTGGACCTGGCATCCATTGTAATTCCCAAGTGATGAACCGACTCCTTTTTGCATTGTTGAAGGTGCAAAAGCTGCAGGACCTGTTTGAGCTGCTCAGCACTGTGGTAATGATGAAGATGCTAGTAAGTAATTCCTTGAACATTAGTCCAAAAATTCATCCACCATGTGACCTTTGTGCCACGCAGCTGCTATAATGAGGAGTATCAAAGTCTGCCCTGAAAATGAATAGGAGAGAAGAGAGTTTCTCTTGGTGTCCTGACCAACAATCTGCCAAATAAAATTGGTCACTCACTCCATGACTCTTTGTGGGACATTGCTGTACGCAACTGGCTACTGTGTTCCGCCCACAAAATATGCAGTCAAACCACTTTACAGTAAATCCTGTGATGTGCTTTTGAGATGTCACAACAACATGATAAGGCTGTAAAAAATGCAAGGATTATTATTCCAATAATACTAAACATTGATGGCTTCCGATACAGTATAAATTTACATATACACTATATAGCCTTTTACGTTGGGAGAATGCCTCAAAGTGCTTTTACTAGTGTAACGAGACCATGTAGTTCTTTCTCGTGCTTAAACTCTTGTATAACATGATGGAATATGAAAAGTAGCAGCACCCCTACATGACAGCTCATTGGGGTCAAAATTGGGATATTGCTAAACATATTCTGTTCCTTATTTAAGCAATGATGTTTTAAGTACCTCCTAAATTCTCAATGATGGTATCAATCACAATGGGTGAAAAATCTTGGGCACCGCCTCTATTGGATTGCTGCTTTGTCAGACCTGTGACTGTTTCCTCATCCAGATCAATTCTGTAAAATCTCATTAGGATTGAAAAAACACTTGGAACAAAAAAACAGCAATTTTTTTTGGTAGCATCTCTTGACACATGCAGAAATCCATTACCTTGCTCAAGGGAATACAAAACCAGATTCATGTTCCACAGACATATGGAAATTTCTCTGTATATTGAAATGTACACTAAAATCCCTGGAGGGACACATCCTGCTTTCCTAATTTCAGAGAGTATTAGGCATAGGTTGGTTAGAGCCCAGTGTGCATTGGGATACTGCTGGAGTTTAAACAGTTAGAACTGCATCTATTAAGAGCACTGTCTGGCAAGCATCCCATTGCTTGTCCAGCTAGGACCATTCTACCATTCTACAAGCACTCTGGAATGCTATATAAATGTATGAGGGGCGTTATATAAATGCAAGTTGTTGTTGCATCGGTTAGAGCTTCGGATTGCAAGAGCTGAGTGCTTCCCGTAGTCTTAGATGATACATTAGGCTAGACAAACTGCCAAAGCTATAGGGAATCATATGAGTTGGATTCATTGTGAGAACTCTTCTCCGAGGCATCTTGAGTTGACATGATGTTCATGGGGTTCTCTGCAGGAAACATGCTTTATTTCCAAGTGGACTTTATCCAGTGCCAGGCACCATTTACACTATGATTTTCCAACTCAAGTGCTTCTCAACCCCATTGTAAGGTTTCTGAAGTGTAATATAAAAGTATTGCATATATTGACACCCAGATGCATTGAAATAAAATAATTGTTGGAACACATTATGTTCCTTATTTAGGAAGACCTTTTAAATGGAAGCTTTAAATGTTCTGTTTAATAAACGTTACTAATGATGGTCTGAATATTTGTTTTCTTTCAGCCAGAAGCCGATGTTTTACTAAATGTATTTGAACTTGTGGCATCTACAGGCTCAAGAAATCTGCTTCCCAAACTCATAGATGTAACCTGCAAGGTAGGGCAAATGCAGCAGAGTTTGCGCATTTTACTGATACAAAGTGTGAATTATTTGTAGATAAATTAGAATTTGTTTGGGACACTGTATATAGCTGATTGAATGGCCCATTGGTGTCTTTAAAAGGAAAGATTTTAAGGGTATGCTTAAAGGATATGCAATCAGAATGCATGTCTACATCTCAAGTAATGTGCATGGTCTATCACTTGGAACTACCGGGTCAATGAATAAATCAGGCCACACTTAAGAACATATGGAAACAATGAACATAATCTTTCAGTATGTACTGATTCAATTTTTTTGAATGCATCAATTATCTACTTAATCGCCCTCCCTATCCACCTTCAAAATCCACGTTCAAATCCGCCTTAAGGCATCTCTTCTACTGCACTTTCAGGCACTGTCCACCCAACTCCCCCACCCACAAACTCACAACAGTCAGCAGAAGGTGCAATGTAATACAGACTAACAGTACATCCACATTTCTCAATGAGAATTAATTTGCATTGTAGGCTACTGCGAAATTAAAATATTTACACTTGAGATGACCTTTTGTGTAACAGAAAGTCTCAGTGTACACTTTGTCTCTTGTTTTGTGTGCTAACTTTTTCAGTGTGTGGAAGCAGGACTTAGTTTCCAGCCGGATCAGTTTAAGTGTATAGTACAGCTGCTAACTCAACTACAAGTTTCTCATCAAGAAATAAATCTCATTTTGGCTCTCGAGAACAGGTAAGAGTCACCTTACTAACTCACTTCAAGGCCTGGAGATATCAGCCTTTGATACTAAGTTTGTGTATTAAAGGTGTCAGCCTGGCTCAGTTGGTCGCACTCTCATCTCTGAGTTAGGCATTGTGGGTTCAAGTCTTACATAGGTTGTCTGAACTGGTGCACAATCTTGGCGTCCGGTTGAATCCTGAAATGAAAGGCATTATGTTAAATGCAAGGATTATTTTATTTCTTGAGGGAGGCAGATACTGGATCAGGCCCTTGTTTGAATGTGTTTGATTTGAAGTTATGAAAAGAGAGGGATGTGGTCGAACCAAAACTCTATTCGTTTAGTGGAGGTAGGGCGCAGAGGTTTTGGAAGAGGATTCCAAAAGGGTAGGGCGAGTGGCTAAAGGTCTGGCCATTGTTGATGGGATAAAGGGAGTGAGGAACAAGCAATAAACCTGAATTGGACCAAATTGATTGTGTGCAGTATCTGTACCGCTGCTGTTTAGAAATCCAGCCCAGATATTTGCTGGAAGGAAATTCCAACTAGATGGCATCAAAGTAGTTAAAAAAAAGTTCTCTTTGGCCAAATTCTCAAGTCATTCATAAATTAAATGCAGATTCAGTTTTCTTAACAGTTCCACAGAGAATGAAATATTTAATTTGCTATCAGCTATTTTTGGTTATACTCTAATGGTCTAGCTATATATATACCACCATTCAACTATTTAATTTTCATTGCTTCACCCTGACCTTCAAAAGGACATTAAAAGTGACCTGACCCTGAATTTGATTCCTTTCACTTTATTTGCTATCCCTCAATTTTTCTGCTAATCCCAATGTACATGACTTCAGTAGTTTACAGTTTACTGTTTGCAGTACAGAAGCAGCTCATTCAGTTTATTGTGTCTGGTACTAGCTCATCCACTAGTTTTCTACCCTAATCCCATTCCCCGCTGTTTCTCAAATACAGTGCAGCCCCATTATAATGCACTTCTTTCGAGCACGAATTTATAATAATAATAATAATCCTTGCATTTGATATAGCGCTTTTCACGTCGGGAGGACGTCCCAAGGCGCTTCACAGAACACACTGTAAAGTGAATTGACTGTATATTTGTGGGCGAACGTGGCAGCCAATTGCGCACAGCAATGTCCCACAAACAGTCGTAGATTGAAAGTGACCAATTTATTATTGTTTTGGTTTTGGAGGGATTATTATTAGGCTCTGTGTGGAGTAAGGAAATTTGCCCAAGGTTTCGCCCTGACCTGCCTGGAATTGAACTCAGGTCTCTCGCTTGCAAAGCGAGTGCTCTAACCACTGAGCTACAGGACTCCATTTGGTTGCGTTGTGAGCTCCATTCACTCTGCATGTGAACGTCTGGCCTACTTGTGTTGAAATAATAATAATAATAATAAATGTCTGACTCCTGGGATCTCAAGTTCCCTGATCTTCCCACCTTGAGCATGTACAGGATGTGATGTCAGCAGTGAGCTGGTGACCTGGAAGTCACCGAGCATTGTATCTTGGATTGGCGCCTGGTTCATTCCTTATTGTTAATAATAATTAATTATTATCAATGTTAATAATGAATAACTCCTTAGCCTCCTTCAAGTCCCACCTCAAAATCCTCCTCTTCGTCCACGCCATCGCTCACCCCACTTCCCCTCCCCTCCCTTCTCCCTCCCTGACCCCAGCTTGGGTCTGAAATGCTGTACACTGTCCAGCACCTTCAGACATCCTCCCGACGTGAAAGGTGCTATACAAATGTAATCTTGTGTGTTGATATTAATTCTTTTATCAGTTTGCAAAGTTTGGTGTTTGTATATCTGGAGTAGTCCTAGACTGTTGCTATGAGTGATCACCTTCCCTTGTGACCAAACCCTTGTCTCCTTTCTGAGGGATCTCCATCTGTTTTCTCATGGTTAAAGTAATCTATGAATTTTTACTGTTAAGATTTTTTAAAAAAATATTTCCTTTAGTGTCTAACCAATGGCATAATTGAGATGAAATTGACAAGCCAGAATTTCATTCTCTCCAAATAATATCTGATATTGATGATTACTTGTACCCCAGAAACTACAAATTTTAATTTGTTATTTTCCAGATCATTATTTCATCCTGCAGAACAAAGCAACTTCAATTTTGCAATTGCTGAAATAAAGGTGTGTGTGTGTGGGGAGGGGGGTGGCATTAGAAATTGTGAACCTTTTGAAACCTGCTTTATGGTGTATCCATGACGAGATATCTAAGGGGAAGAAATCTATGACTCCTGGGATCAAACCCTTGGGAGAGAGAGTCAGGGGATGCAATTGAGATTGGAGTGGCTCAAAGGGTTCATCATGCAGAATCACAAATTCTATAATAATAACAGCAACAACAACAACTTAAACCCTCCCAATTGCAGCCTCCTGGAGCTGACTCTGAGTGTCAGCCGGGGGCCTGTAATCTTCACCTTCAGTTCCATTTCATGTTTTCTTGATCTCTCGCAAAATGCTTCAAAACTAAAACCAAAAGGTGCCTTAACCTTCTGAATAACTTAAAATGCACCAGAATTTTTTTTAATAAGAATAACTAAACATTGCATATTACCAAATGAATTTAGGATGAGGATGGAACTTATCTGTGCTCCTAAAATAAATTGATCAAATATTCACTTGCACATGATCATATTTTTTCCAAACCAAAACCTTTTCAATTATTTTCCACATAGTAATTTGGTCTGAGCAGTCTTTGATGTATTGGAATTAATTATATTGGAATTGTCTTTTTGAGCCTGATTGAACCTGTGGCCTCCAAGGTCTGTGGCTTGTTGGGGTACTGGGTGGTACAGTTTTACCCAATGTGGGACAGTGTCTTTGTTTTCATGTTTGTTTTTCTGTGCAGCACTATAAAGAAAAAGGCCAATGGGACAAGATTGGAATTTTGTATCAAAGTTTACATTTAAACTGTGGTGGTAAACGTGATCTACACAGAGTTGCCAAGTGCATTGCTGCTGCACTCATACAGGCCAAAGATGATGGACCCGTGGTTCCCTTCTGTGAATTTGCAAAAGCAGGTACTGTAATGTGAGTCTCTGCACTGAAGACAGTAGGTCCTTACTAACAATAATAATAATAAACCTTGCATTTTATATGGTGCCTTATCACATCATTGAGATGTCTCAAAGTGCTTCACAGGATACACTGTAAAGTGGATTGACTGTATTTTGTGAGTGAAACGTATATAATATATAAAGGCATTTCTGGTCTGCTAATATCAAATAGTTACAGTTTAAGGTTTGAATTGTCTTTTTGTCTTGTGAAAATTATTATTGCTTCAGAATCCTGGCCAGGGTCGAAGGAAAGGAATTAATGGTGGAAATTTGGGGAATCAAATTTTCGACACATTACTTTTTTGGAGTCAGGGAATATCTGTACAGTACTCTTAAGAACATAGGAAAACAGGAGCAGGAGGAGGCTATTCAGACCATGGGTCCTGTACCACCAGTTTATTAGATCTTTTAATTTGGCAGATCTTTTAATGCCAATACCTATTTGCCAAACCTTAATGCCTGTATTATCCAAGTATTACCCACAAAATATACAGTCAATTCACTTTACGGTATATTCTGTGACGCGCTTTGAAATGGCTCAATGACGTGATAAGGCGCTCTATCAAATGCAAGATTATTATCTGTCTCTTAAACATTTCCCACTGATTTGCCTCTACAGCTTTCGGGGGTAGAGCATTCCACATCCTCACAACCCTCTGTGTGAAGAAAGGCTTCCTGACTTCAGTTCTAATTGTCTTAGAGAAGGTGTTAGTGTTCATATAGGGTCTTGGAAGGCTGTGGAAGGACTGCCTCAACACGTGAGTTTCTTAGAAACCTAAAATCATTTTCATTTAAATAATTTTTTCCCTCTATTCAAAAACAAGGTGTGATACAATTGGGAGTGCAATGCTGAAACACTTGGATTACATTAGAGGTGGGGTGGAGGATTGAGGGCATCAGTTGGTATGCTTTGATCTAGCGTTCATATTGTGTGTTTACAGAGGAATTTAGAGAGGAAAATGTTAAGAGGCGAGTAAGGTAGGCAGATCTACTGCAGAGAGAAACAAACCTGGATAAATTCTAAGAACTGCAACAAAGAAAGGGAACTGACTAGGCGCAGCACAGCAGAACTTGATCAGAAAGTAAGATTACAAGAGAAGTTTGTATCTAGAAGTCCCTTTTGCCCATTTGATCTCATCCTTCTGGAATAACCAACCTTCCATCTTTCCATTACAGTATCGAGTTGTTTCTTAAATAGATCTAGTTTCCTGGCCTCGACAGCCCTATCTGCAAACCTTTTCTGGCTGTTTATCTTCTGTATAGAGATGCTTCTCAGTGTCTGTCCTAAAATTGCCTTTCACAAACCTGAACCTGTATCCTCTTATCCTGCATTGGCATACCTGAACAACAACAACTTGTATTTATTTATATATATAATAAAATAAGCGCACCTCAAGCAGGGTAGCATCTCTAGAGTGCTTAAAATGTTGTTCTGGGTTTGCTTTCTCAATCCCGTTTCATCTCTAATACATCTTAGTCACACTTTGTGGTGAGGAGGAAAGTTATCAGTGCTCAACATCTGTCCATTAATTTCTTACACAACGGCATTCCCTTGGGAAATCAGGAATCTGCCTTGTTTGCAGGTACCAGTTTTGATTTGGTGCTGTCATAAAAGTAGTGTAGAATTTAAAACCTTGCCTAATTGTAATTCATGCCTGTATGTTGCAATTTATATTTTTCAGTGTTGCAAAAGCCACACACCAATGGACTGACAAAACATTTGCTTGGTAGGATTGGAATCTCTGTCATGGTTGCATACTATAGCATTGAAAAGTGGGGAAAGGTATATTGATTGTTCATTTGTGTGAAAGGCAAAACGTGGGTTGCTATGAACATTTTAAGTCACATTTTTATGAATAATTGTATTTTGAACATATCTCAAGTTTTTTTTAATATAAAAGTTCTAATTTTCATAGCCACTCTCAGATGCTCCCAGACCTCATAAATTCACTCTGTTTATTTGCAAAGTCTTGTTCCATGAGGAAAACCATACTGAAAATAGCCATATGATTGCACTGAAATATTTTCATCACTTTATATACAAATTCTAGATACGTCGGGTTTTCATCTGCAATAGTAAACGTCATGGCGACGGGGTAATCTGTTTGCAAGCAATCATATAAATGTACACAGAGGAACATTTGAAACATTACTGTCTTACACATAAAATGAGTGCAATCGATACTGAAATTAAAATACATTTAATTTTCCTGCATCATCAAGAATGAGGTCAAAGAAAGAAAAAAGTCGTAAAATTTTGTATAATTAAATAATTTGGTACCAAGCATCAAAACAGCGGACTTGTAATTGTTAAAGAACCTTTTCCTTTGACTTTCTGCTTCCCCACTGAACTGGACTTGGTCTAAACCTTAGTATTTTTAGATATCAGTGCTGGCTTGTTTAAATATCAGTCTAGCTATTATTCATTCTCTGAAACTTGGCATTCCCCCATTAAAGAGGTGTAGAGGGTGACTTTTTTTAAAAAAAAGTTAAACCTTCAAGTCCTTTCATTAGAGGGAGTTCTGAAGAGAGTTTGAAAGCACATTTTACTTTACTAAACCATTGGCATGCCCTTCACTGCACAGTAATTACATTGTGCATCTCTGTGATAGTTAACTTGAAAGTCGCATATGGAAATGTTATCTGACTATTATTTATGCAATATGAAAGGTACTGTTTTAGACACATGATCCCATTGAAGATGTCATTTGAGATGGCTTTTTGACTCGTGAATGTATCTTTAAAACCATGTACCCAAAACCCTACCCGCAGTTAATCTTACAAGATGCACTTCGCAAGCCTGTGCTAAGTTTGAACTCTATGTGATGAAATGCCTTGATTGGGCAGAACCCACTTTAGTGACTAGACTTGTAGAAAAGTGTCAATGCACAGCAGATGTTTGGATGTGGTCACCTGCCTGCCTTTTCAGCCAAGGAGCTTGGGTTGCTTTCATGCATGTTAAACACCGGACATGTTAAACATTGGACCGCTCAACCGGCTGCAGCCTTCTGCATATCCCTCTTGCCCTCTGTTCCACCATTGGTGGTTGTGCTTTCAGCCACTACGCCCCGAAACTCAGAAAACTATCCTATAATCCCTCCACCTTGCCCTTTCCTTCCCCATCTTCATTTCTATTTGACCATGCCTACAGTAATCTCCCCTTCCGGCTCGGTGTTGTGCTCTGCCACTGTCAAGCGCTCTGGGACGCTACCCTGCATGAGGGGTGCTACATAAATGCAAGTTGTTGTTGTGCAAAAAAAAATGAAGTGCCGATTTATTACTAATTTGTGAGAATCGGCCATCTATATTTACTATTCTCCATCTTTGATTAGATCACCTAGCACCGTGCACTACTTTCTGGCTGAGCAGGCAACCTGCTCACAGGGATATGCAGATACTGCAGTTGATCCAGGTAGGAGGTTGGTGCACAACAGCCCTGGGAGATTTGCCCTTTAGAAATTTTGACCTCTGAAGGGGAAGGACCCTGAGGCAGCAAATGCTTCAGAATCTTAGCCTTGAAACCATGGTCACAACATTTGTTTGTGAAAATTCTGAAATGTTCAGCCTTAATTTGGAAACTGGTTTCCACTCTCTTTTTGTTAAGAGCTTAGTACAGAGTTTTAAGAATTTTCCAAAATTCTGCTTGATCTTATATTTTAATGGCCTTAAGACTAATTCCATGAGAAATTTAGGGCATCTGGCCTCTGCTTGACTGCCTCTGCTCATTGCATCCGAAATCAACAACAACTTGCATTTATATAGTGCCCTTCCCGCAGGCTAGCGTCCCGGAGGGCTTTACAGCAACAAAAAGATTATATTTGTATCGCGCCTTTCACGTCGGGAGGATGTCCCAAGGCGCTGGACAATGTACAGCATTTCAGACCCGAGCTGGGGAAGGGAGGGGAGGGGTGGCCGATGGCATGGTCGAAGAGGAGGGTCTTGAGGCGGGACTTGAAGGAGGCTAAGGAAGGGGCGAGGCGGAGTGATTGGGGAATGAAATTTCAGAGATTGGGGGCAGAGTGGCTGAAGGCTCTCCCGCCAATAGTGGGGCGGGTGGGTCGGGGGACATGGAGCAAGCCAGAGCCGGCTGAGCGGAGGGAACGGACGGGTTGGTAGGGGGTTAGGAGGTTGCAGATGTAGGGTGGGGCGAGGCCATGGAGGACTTTGCATGTGAGGATCAGGATCTTGAACTGGATCCTGGTCATCACATACACTTTTACAGTGGCAGAGTCTGACCCTGAGCCAGAGGGAGAAGAAGGAGGAGGTGACCGTAAGTACAATCAAAAAGGAAGATCTTTAGGCAGGATTTGAAAGTGGGGAGGGAGCGGCAAGGCGGCGGGATTGAGGGAGAGAGTCCCAGAGTTTAAAATCACTGTACACTGTATTAAACTGTAAGCCCCTTCCCCCCTGTAAACTATCATGTTGTCATAAAATTAGCACAGTCAGCAAAAACTCTAAATATTGTGATCCGTATGAAGTTAGGTAGGATCTGATTACACCAACAATTTTCTTTTGTTCATGTGGTGAATTGACATTCTTCGTGGTCAATATGGGAAGGTGCAAAGCACAGGCAATTTTCTGGAGAGTGTGGTAGATGATCTGAGTGACCTAGGATAGTGAGAAAGAAAACAGAAAGGAATCCAGTAAAATTCATTGTAACAGAGACCTTGTTTACCACATGAGGTTGACCAAGGTTTCTTTTATGCCTGTTTAAACATAGCTATGTAATACACCCTGTGCCCAGAAACAATTACGGGTCTTAAATGCACAAAGGCAGTTTGGATGAAGAAAGCCATTCGCTCTATTATGTTATTAACCATTAAAAGGGTTTATTTTTGATTTACTTGATTCAAAAGCTAGTTTTAGAAACCTGATGCATTGACACCAAGCGTGAATAAAGTATAGTTGAACTGCTTTAATCAGTTTATCCAAATTGTAATTTCCTTTAATTTTTGAACAGGCAAGACAAACTTTGGACGTCTTACAGGAAATTCAACCAAACTTCACAGGAGTGAAAGCACTTGTTACTGAGGGTACTGTATCCAGGTGCCAAATTGTTAACGTCGCTGCAGATATCTTTCTGAAAACACGATGTGTGAATCAAGCATTTCGAATGTTGCAAGGTATCATTTTAACATGACAATTTCAGACCTGCTTAATCCGTATGGCAGTCGAGGCGGCAGATGAGTGTTGGGTTGTAAACAAAGTTGTCTCCATACCTTTTCACTGGATCGATCTTTATCATTGGGTTCAAAACGTGAAAATACTGCAGAGGTGGACTATAACATATACAAGGTACAGGAAAGGAATAGTGATCGAGATTGTACTAGCAAGCTCACGTGGAGGATTTAACACCAAGTTATGCTTGATGGGCTGAATGATTTTCTTCAATGTCATGATATCTAACTTTTCAAACACTGTTTCAGATAATGCCCAACTTAAGCCCCTCTGATCATTCTGACCCCATACAGAGCTTTGATGTAGCGTTAAAGTGAATTACGATTATCCAGTTCCAAAGTCATAGATCTTTTTGGTATAGAAGGAGGTCCTTTGGTCCACCATGTCCAAGTTGATGCTAGTTCTTTCATTAGTTCTTTCACTAGTTCTTTCACTGGTGCTATCTGACCTCAGTCACCATAGCCTTTAATATTATTTTTCCCATTTAAAACATGTTGTTATGGACATAAAGCTTCAATGTTCATTGGTGGTAAGGCTTTCCATGTTCTAACATCCCTCTGTGTAAAATGAGCCCCTCCACCCTTTTTGTTCTTGTTTAGAACAAAGGAGACTAAACTGTCCTTCAGATGAGACGTTAAACTGAAGCCTTGTCTCCTGATTCAAGTGGATGCTAAAGATACCACTATTTGAAAAGAGAAGGGAGTTTCTCCCAGTGTCCTGGCCAGCAATCCACAAATAAAATTGGTCACTCACTTCATGGTTGTTTGGAAACATTGCTGTGCACAACTTGGCTGCCTTGTTTGCCCACAAAATACAGTCACTCCACTTCACAGTATGCCCTGTGAAGTGCTTTGGGACATCCCCCTGTGTGAAAGGCACTATATCAAATGCAAGGATTATTAAAAGATATGCAAAAATGCTATAATGTTTCAGATGGTTTGATATGTAAAACAACACACGAGACCGATAATCACAAATTGTGTTGAACTTTCACTGTTCTCGTGTGTTTTTGTCAAATATACAGAATTTGGCTGGATAATTGGTGCTCCAGCGTGGCCTTATGACAAAGTGGACATTCTGAACCGACAGAGGTTGCTGTTCAGTCTCGCTGATGCAGCTATGACAAAGAATATGTATTGGCAAGCACTGGATATTTTACAGCATTTACCTGGATTCCAGAATGTAAATGGTGAGCACGGGGGCTGAGCACTCGGTGCTTTGTAATGTTTACGATTTGGTGAATCACCCCCTCCTCATTTTCAAGCGCTCATTGTAATTTTTAAAAATGCTAAATTTTGTGTTCATCCACAAAGGATGTCAGTGCTGGGAAATAACCACTGAAATGTTAGCATTGAAGATGGCTATTCAGCCCATTATGTTTAGTGATCTGATATTAACTAAATTTTAAATATTTGGTGCAGATATAGACCTGTTGTACCTGACTAAATAATCTGCAAAACTGGGTGCAGGGATTATCTGAATTATTACTGGTCAGAGTTGAACATTGTGTTAATGATTGATTGTATCCTGGTGTTTTGCTTGCTTATTGTGCAGCTAAATTAGTTTTGCAACCCATCACCATCAAGGTGTTGTTTAGTACTGTTTTCTTCTTGTTTGATTGGGGTTAACACAGTTGGAGGGACAAGTTGAAATTTACCTACAACTGAGGTGGAGCTAGTCAGTAAGTGTCCAAGTCTCTTGACTCCCTTTAAATGGTTAGGTCACCATTGATGCTTCCAGTCCTCTGGAATTTTTCCCTTTTTAATAATCTTTTTAAATTTCAGTTTAGGACTTGCTCATTTCTAGCTAAATCCTTTCCCCTCCCCTCCAAATTCAACTCCAATGGCTTGGGTGCAAACTCTTGATTTCTCTGCGCCTTGAACATCCTCCTGACATGAAAAACACTGTATAAATGCAGTTTGTTGTTATTTCTGCTCTTCTCAGATGACCGTTGTGAACTGTCTACATTCAGAAGAATGTAGGCTTCCTAACAAATGAGAGAGAGAGAGAGAGACTGATCATAGAATTATACAGAAGGAGGCCATTCAGCTCATTGTGTCTGTGCCTATACTACATTAGTTGACAATTCATCTGCAATATTAGATAGAGTTGGAGATATGACTCATTCAGGCAAATACCCCTCATTTAATTACATTTCTGAAAGCACAATCCTTTAAATCAGAGCTAAAAGGTTACACATTCACAGATTAACGTGTTGTATTGATTGGCAATCCACGATTCAAGGTATTTTATACAATGTGTCATGATATTAGTAAGTAACTCAATTACCCTGCATCAAATGTAAGCTTTTCTGACCGCAGAATTTAAACACGAAACCCAACTTTTAAGAAATAAATCAAGCTTGTTTTTATAATTTTCCTTCCTTCCTTCCTTCCTTCCTTCCTTCCTTCCTTCCTTCCTTCCTTCCTTCCTTCCTTCCTATTTATTGATGTTGCAGGTATCATGGATGTTGCACAGTATGTCAGTGTTTTCAGCAAGCTTCTGGATGAATGTATCCAGAATAATTGTCTTGGAGTATCTTTAGACACTGTGGATTTCATGAGATCCGCAAACATTCCCATAAACTCATTAGCCATAAGGAAACTGATTACTGCTTTGGGCAGATGCTGCTTGTGGCCGAAAGCAAGAAAACAGTACAAAAGTAAGTCATTTTTATGATCATCTGTAGCCTGATACATGGTTTGTCTGTGGATTCATGTTAATTCTTTATTGAAACATCTGAGCTTCACAGGATTGACTATAAAGTGTAGACTGTGTATTTTGTAGGGTTATCAGCAGCCAGTTTTGCACACAACAATGTCCCAAAAACATCTATGAATTGAATGACCAGTTTTATCTAGGGGAATGTTGGCATCTTTTCAGATAGTACCATGGGATCTTTAATGTCCACATGACATTGGCGCCCTATAGCTCAGTGGTTAGAGCACTTGCCTTGCAAGCAAGACACCTGGGTTCAATTCCAGGCAGGGCGAAACCTTGGGCAAGTTTCCTTACTCCACACAGAGCCTAATAATAATCCCTCCAAAAAACCAAAAACAATAATAAATTGGTCATTTTCAATCCACGATTGTTTGTGGGACACTACTGTGCGCAATTGGCTGTCGCATTTCGCCCACAAATATACAGTCAATTCACTTTACAGCATATTCTGTGAAGCGCTTTGAGACATCTAGAAGACGTGAAAAGCGCTATATCAAATGCAAGGATTATTATTATTATGAACCAGCAGATGAGACCATTTTGACGATTCATATGAAGGATGATACCTTGGCCAGTGCAATGTCTTCCCAGTGTTGCACTGGACTGTCAGCCTAAACTCTGTGTTCAAAATCCTGATAAGTACTCTTAGTAATGCAGTGCCATGTTAACGCTTTCCAGAATAAATCCTAGAACAAAACTTCACTCAGACTTGTATCTCCCAAAGTAATCGAGAGCTTTTGATAGAGAATAGTCATTTTCATTGGTCAGTCGTTCAGTAGCTGGGTGTTTTTATAAAAAAAAGTTCAGTTTTTTTTACTTTGATGTAACAGTACAATCTAATCAGCTCAGCTTCTACACCACATTATCGTTCAGTGGGTGGACATTCAGCCACCTGCTGTCAGTATATCGATCTGAATTAATCTGCATTCCCTTTCACCAAATGTACATATTTTTGACCAGGTTAGTTTTTTTTAAATAATTGCTGTATTTTTTTGGAGTATCCTGGAGTAAGGAACACACTTTACCCTCAAAATAAATCTTCCCTTTTGCTTCTCTATCCTTGTTACCAGTTTTGAATAAGCACATGGTTTGAGTTTATCTGTTTTCAGAGGCCTTGTCAACTGGGTGTTATCCACCAATGGAGGTAAACCTACACCACAGATTGCTCCCAGTGCCTTACTTTATGTCAGAAGTTGAGATGCTGCTGGCCATCGAAGTGTTTCTAGTTACAAATGCCAGCAGCATTCAGAGTCCCAGCGTCCCCCATCAGCCTTATCAAATAGTACTTCGCAGGTTAGTGCATTTGTGGAAGAGTTAGGTTCTTGTATTTTTTATTTAAAATTATTTGTCTGCAGAGGGTGTCATATTTTGTTGCTGTTTTTGTGTTTTAAAGGCCTGAAGATGAAAGGAGTAACCTCAATCGCATGTCAAACGGAGAGTATGAAGCAGCGGTGGATAGATTGATGGCAGCTGCCCGCATATCTGAGCCAAAGCTTCAAGTGAAGCACACGACTGTCAACATTGCAAGAGAGGAGGTTTTCAGTTTGGAATATTGCTCAGCCCTGAAATGGCTTGACCAGAATATGAATTGGGCTGGGAATGCTTGGCTGTTTGGCTAAATGCAGCAGGAGGATCTTTTTTGGAATGAATAAAAAAAAACTCTGAAATGTTGACTGTGTGCAATATAGGCAGTCACTGTAATAAAACCCTTTTGTGTCTGAAAAAGTGTGCAGCAAATTTTAGTAAATTAGACATTTAGGGAAGCATGTAGCTAGGAAAGGAAAGATAATAGTTAGAAAAGGCATTTTCTAAAAGGAACAAAGGGTTTACCCACAAAATACACAGTATTTACAATCTTGGAGTCGTGTAGCTCAGTGGTTAGAGCACTTGCCTCACAAGCGAGAGACCTGGATTCAATTCCCAGCAGGGCGAAACCTTGGGCAAGTTTCCTTACTTCCTTACTTCCTTACTTTCTTTCCCTCCCTCCACACGCCTGATGATAATCCCTCAAGAAAAAAAAATAAAATGGGTCACTTCAATCCACGACTGTTTGTGGGACACTGCTGTGGGCTGCTGTGTTTCACCCGAAAATATACAGTCAATTCACTTTACAGTATATTCTGTGAAGCGCTTTGAGATGTCGAGAAGAACTATATCAAATGCAAGGATCATTATTACAGTATATTCTGTGAAGCGCTTTGAGACAACAACAATAACTTGAACTTATATAGTGCCCTCCACTCAGGGCAGCGTCTCGGAACACTTAACGGTGGTGGAGGCTGACTCCGAGCCAGGGGGAGGTGGCCATAAACACAGCCAAAGAGGAAAGTTTTCAGGTGGGACTTGAAAGGGGAGAGAGGGCGCGAGGCAGAGGGATTGAGGGAGAGTGTTCCAGAGTTTGGGGGTGTAGTGGCTGAAAGCATGACCTCTGATGGTGAGTCGGAGGGTGCGAGGGATGAGCAGGAGGCCGGTGCCAGTCGAGCTGGGTGGTGGATTGGGGAGTGAGGAGGTCAGAGAGGTAGGGAGATGCCAGCGAGTGAATGGATTTGAACACGAGTGTGAGTCAATCTGTTCAGTGATGGAGAGCCAGTGGAGACTGGCCAGAACCGGTGAGATGTGATCACGGAGTTTGTTCCAGGTCAGTATGTGGACAGCAGAGTTTTGGATGAGCTGCATCTTGTGAATAGTAGAGCTGGGGAGACCGGTGAGGAGCACATTGGAGTAATCGAAGCGGGAGGTGACAAACACATACACGAGGGATTCGGCTGAGACTTCTCAACAACATGATGAAGTGCTGTGTCAAATGAAAGGATTATTATTATTTGCTGAATGCAAATGTTTTCTAAAACAGCATAAGATTGTTACCATAAGATTGGTTTGGAGGAAGAAGCCCTTCAGCCTATTTGATTACCTGCCATAATAACCGCCCTACCATCTTCCTATCACAGCATCAAGCTATTTTCTAAATGAAGCCAATGTTCTGGATATATCGCAATATAACAGCAGATAAATGCTAATTACCCAATAAGGAGTATTGTACAGGTTAGAAGGACTAGTTTGGTGAAATGAGATCTGGGATCTGGATGTACCAGCTCTTGAATCCACCTCCAGCAGAGTTGAATTCACCGATAGTTGGGTTTTCCCTTCAACCCCACTCATTTTCCAGTCAAGCTCATCATTCAAATGATCTGCAGGAGAAATAACTCTGAACAATAATCACAGTCCTCAAAGTTTCCTTAGGAATTCCAATACTGTTATAATAATAATAATCCTTGCATTTGATATAGCGCTTTTCACATATTCTAGACGTCCCAAAGCGCTTCACAGAATACACTGTAAAGTGAATTTGACTGTATATTTGTGGGCAAACGTGACAGTCAATTGCGCACAGCAATGTCCCACAAACAGTCGTAGATTGAAAATGACCAATTTATTATTGTTTTGTTTTTGGAGGGATTATTATTATTAGACCAGATGAGAGAATCAAAAAAGGGGCATTTCGAAAAACTCTTGGATTGTAAAATCTTATTAAAGGAAACCTTCAAAATGATAGTGCCAACCTGTCACCTAATCAATATTGCAGATTTAGGATTTACATCCTCTACAACCTGTTCAGAGAAGCCCAGAAAGCCTGGCTTATACTTGGCTCTCCTCACACCTCTGAAGCATTATCCTAAAACATGTCCCCTTTAACTTTTGTTGCTGTGTCTAAAAAATGTAACCTACAGAATTAAGATTAAAAAGATTAAAAGTCGCTACACAAGAGTTCTGGGAAACAGTGGCAATAAAGTGCTGTTTCACTGGTCAGACTTCATTTGGAACATTGGTTGCAGCAGCACCTAACCTCAGGAAAGATTTACTGGTTCTAATCCTTGCATTTGATAACTGCCCTGAATTTTGTTTTTTATTACTGAGCTTTAACCGAGATGAGTTTTGTTGACTTTTACTAGTTTTATTATTGAAATCTGGTTAGCATCGTATCCAGGTGAAAACATTCCGCATACCAGCTCACTGGAGGCCATCGTTTACGCAGAGTGGTCCAACAGGCGGCCCTCTGGCCAAATCCTGCCCGACGGGTGATCTTATCCGTCCCGAGACCATTTCCAATATTCCAACTTCCGCTCCCTCCCTCCCTCCCTGGTGAACGGCTTCCGAGGGCAGCGGCAGGAGACGGTGGTTGGGAGATTCGAAATAATACTGGCCGTTACTGCAGTCTGTCAGGAAGGCGAGCTCGTTTCTTACTAACCACATCCTTAGTAACTGCCAACTCCTGTCACTACAACTAGTGCCCTGTGCGGTTGCTTGGGAGAGAGAGGGTTTGAGAGGGGGAGAAGGAGGGTTAGGGTGGAGAGCGGTGCGGAGGGGGTGGAGGTGGGTGGGTAGAGGGGAGTTAGATGGGGAGAAAGAGTAAGAAAGGGGGAGAGAGAGAGAGACAGATTGTTTGAGGGAGTCTAAGATCAGAGAAGGGAAGAGAGTGAAAAAGAAAGTGTGTAAGGAGGAGGGAGTGAATGTGAGGGAGAGAGGGAGAAAGAAACTAGAGAGGGAGATTGAGAGTTTGAGAGGGGTTAGACTGTATGGGGGAGAGAGAGTAATTGAGAGGGAGAGAGAGGAGGAGAGGGGGAGGTGGAGTGTGAGGGGGAGAGAGAAGAACGGGGAGAAGAAGAGGCCAAGAGGAGAGGGGGTTGAAGGGGAGAGGGGGGAGGTGGAGTGGGAGAGGGTATGAGAAGTGGAGTGGGAGAGTAATTGAGAGAGATTGTGCGTGAGAGAAGGAGAGAGTGAGGGGGAGAGAAGGAAAGAGTGTGTGTGAGAGGGGATAGAAAGGGGGCGGGGGGGGGGAATGTGGATGTGAGAGAAGGGGTAAAGAGAGAGAGGGGGTGAGAAGGAGAGAGTCCCCACTCCTTGTGGCAGCCAAAAGGTTGGACCACTCTGCTTTACATTGATGCAAGTTGAAAAAAAACATAAAACTCATCAAAACAAGTGTCAGCAGCTCCTTAATCCATGGGGGACGGAGAAAGAGAGATTCTACCGAGGCCCAGACTTACATTATTTTCTTAGCATTTCAGAGGATGTCGAATTTGGCAGATTTTTAAATGTAGTTAAGAATCCAGTGAGCGGGTAATTGGGATGGATGTTCTCGCCTGGACACCATCAACACTTCCTCAGTTTGGTCTGGGTTATCTCAGTGAGAGAGCAACTCCAGGTGGAAGAGAAGGACCTTCCAGACATTATTGAGCTTGCATTAGAAAATCACAGAAAATTACAGAAAATCATCGACTTGGTATGAGACTGTTCAACTTCAAGCACAATATTAGCTCAAGTGAGTTTTTTGTTTTACACAGAGTGCACTATATAAGCTTATCCAATGCAAAGGTTATTTATTATTATTTATTATTTATTGTCAACACTGACAAATCAGACAACAGCAGTGTTGACAGAGAAGGGAGTGGTACATTAACAAAACCAGTTAAAAAAACACACACACACAATCCCAAAAGAGGGCAAAGGCCATTTTGCAGCCATCATTTTTTGCTTTCCATCTTTTCTCAAGAAACCTCCTGAAATAAATAATCATTTGTTTGATAATAGCGTCAGGAGCCAGTCATAAGATTCAAGTTCCTCACGATATAATACAAAGAGACTGACGAGCAGGATCTTCAAATTGATGTTGCTACTTTATTCAATCAAAGCGACAGCGTTAAGCAGTTATACTATACATACAACCAAGACACATAGTTCGTATTCGAGGGTGATCAAGTTCTTCCTCTGGGAGAGATGGTGACCGCTTAGTGGGCATCGATTACTTGTTGACGGATGATCTTTCTTCTACAGTGGCCGTGTCTTGCTCTCCTTCTGATGTATCGGGTTCACTTCTTTTACACCACATTCACATCCCAGCCCCTAACCAGCTTTTCCACACAGACTGCTTGTGGCCATTTCATGCTGGTTTCTTATCTTTATTTTTAACCAATTTATGTTCTTTCAGACCTCATCGTTCAATGTTTTACTTCCCCTTATCAAAGCTCCTTGCTCATCCGGGCACCAGGAGCCAGCTGTGTCTGGCACAATAACAAGAAGGATTTCTTCTTTTGCAAGGATGAATAAGCACAGAGACTGCAGAACAACATCTTCCAGGTCTCTCTCTCTCTCTTTTCTTTCTCACAGATAGCGTCTGCTCAAGATTACCGGTTGCTCGAGATGAACAGGGAGGTGGCTGCAGCTGTAGCTTTTGTCAGGATACACTATGTGTGAGCACACAGCGGTCCTAACTAGACACCAGCTTACAGTCCCCCCTTAGCAGCTATTAGGCTGATGTATCATTGCCTACAGAAGCTATAAAATGACAGTTCTCAGAACCAGAACATGGATGAATATTAAAGCACCAACTCAAAGCCATTTGCTACAAGGGAATTGTGCTTTCACGTAAATGTTAGGATGTTTTACTTGTGTATCAGGAATACAGATTTGTAAATGTGCCACCCGCCTATCAACATGTACTGTGAAACATGTTGGCAAAATTTAACTCTGATTTTTTCACTGTTATTCTAATCCGAGTGACAAGCCGCCACATTAGTAAAATGAGTCAAATTCACACGTCCATTAGACCAAAGTTTACCGCCGGAGTCTTCTTTATCAGAATGTCTTCTTTCCAAAAATCTTCGAACAGATTTCCTTGGTCCTGTCACCACTCTCAAATCCAGAGGATGCTCTTCCACACCACTTTGAGT